TACTTTAAAAAGTTGCCTTAAGTCCTTTAAGAAGAACATGAGATAAATATATACATTTTGAAAAAGTTAAATGGAAACCAAAAGAAAGCTGGTATGGTGGTGCTGATTACAGATAACTTAGTTTTTAAATCAACAAAAGTAATACAAGACAAAGAAGGTCACTATATAATGGTGAAGGGTACAGTTCAACAACAAGACATAACAATTCTAAATACATATGTACCCAACCTAGGTGCACCCAGATTCATAAATCAAACTCTACTTGATCAAAACAAATGGATAAACAACAACACCATAATAGTCAGAGACTTTAACACCCCACGGACAGCACAGGACAGATCCTCCATCAACAAAGAAATAATGGACTTAAACAGAACTCTAGAACGAATGAGCCTGACTGACATTTACAGGACATTCTACCACCAAACCACTGAATATAGGTTCTTCTCATCAGCTCATGGGTCATTCTCTAAGATTGACCATATCCTAAGACACAAAGCATGTCTCAAACAATTTTAAAAAACAGAAATTATACCATGTATCTTTTCAGTTTACAACAGAATAAATGTAGAAATCAACCCTAGCGGGAACTCTCATTTCTACACAAAGTCACGGAAACTAAGCAACCTTCTGCTGAATGATCATTTCATAAATGAGGAAATCAAGATGGAAATCAAAACATTCTTTGAACTAAATGACAAAGGAGACACAAGTTATTAAAACCTCTGGGACACAGCTAAAGAAGTCCTGAAAGGAAAGTTTAGTTTCATAAATGCCTATATCCAAAAGTCTAAAAGATCACAAATAGACAACCTAATGAATTGTCTCAAAGAGCTGGAAAAAGAAGAACAGAATGACCCAAAACCCAGCAGAAGAAGTGAAATAATTAAGATAAAATCAGAACTAAACAAAATTGACAACAGGGAAACTATATGGAAGATTAATAAAACAAAAAGTTGGTTCTTTGAAAAAATAAACAAAATTGACACAACTTTGGCTAGACTAACAAAAAGCAGAGAAGAAAAATCTCTAATAAGCTCCCTCAGGAACAATAAAGGAGAAATTACAATGGATGCCACAGAGATAGAAGATACAATTTATGAATACTACAAAAACCTCTATGCACACAAACTAGAAAATGTGGAGGAAATGGACAATTTCCTAGAAACACACAGCCTCTCTAGGCTTAACCAGGAAGAAATAGAATTCCTGACCAGACCAATATCAAGTACTGAAATTGAAACAGCAATAAAAAACCTTCCTGAAAGAAAAATCCGGGACCATATGGTTTCACACCCGAATTTTACCACACCTACAAAGAAGAACTGGTGCCTATCCTGAAGAAATTATCCCGCAACATCAAAAAGGATGGAAATCTCCCCAATACATTTTATGAAGTGAACATAACCCTGATACCAAAACCAGGAAAGGATGCAAAAAAAAAAGAAAACTACAGACCAATATCCCTTATGAATATATATGCAACAATTCCTAACAAAATCCCAGCCAATTGAATCCAGGTGCTTGTCAAGAAAATAATCCATCACAACCAAGAGGGCTTCATCCCAGGGATGCAGGGATGGTTCAACATATGCAAATCTATAAATGTAATTCACCATATAAACATAAGCAAAAACAAAGACCATATGATTCTCTCAATAGACGCAGAGAAAGCATTTGACAAAATTCAACACCCTTTTATGATAAGAACGCTCAACAAAATAGGCATAGATGGGGCTTACCTAAAAATGATACAAGCCATATATGACAAATCCACAGCCAATATCAAACTGAATGGGGAAAATTTGAAAGCATTCCCACTTAGAACTGGAACAAGACAAGGTTGCCCACTATCTTCACTTCTGTTCAACACAGTGCTGGAAGTCCTTGCTATGGCAATCAGAAAGGAGAGCGAAATTAAGGGCATCCAAATGGTAGCAGAAGAGATCAAACTCTCACTCTTTGCTGATGACATGATATTATACCTAGAAAATCCCAAGGATTCAATCAAGAGACTCCCTGAATTGATAAGTGAATTTGGTAAAGTCTCAGGATACAAAATCAATACACAGAAATCAGAGGCATTCTTATACGATAACAGTAAAAGTGAGAACCAAATTAAAGACTCAATTCCCTTCAAAATAGCAACAAAGAAAATAAAGTACCTTGGAATATATTTAACTAAGGAGGTAACAGACCTCTATAGGGAGAACTATGAAACACTGAAGAAGGAAATAGCAGAGGACGTAAACACATGGAAGAATATACCATGCTAGTGGGTCGGCAGAATCAACATTGTTAAAATGTCTATACTACCCAAAGAGACCTACAGAATCAATGCACTCCCTATCAAAATACCATCATAACTTTTCACAGATATAGAAAAAATAATTTTATGCTTCATATGGAACCAGAGAAGACCCCATATAGCAAAAGCAATCCTAGGCAATAAAAACAAAATAGGAGGTATCAATTTACCAGACTTCAAACTATACTACAAGGCTACAGTCATTAAAACACCTTGGATTGGCACAAGAACAGGGCCATTGACCAGTGGAACAGAACAGAGAACCCAGATATAAAACCATCCTCCTATAGCCAACTCATCTTTGACAAAGCAGAAAAAACATACACCAGGGAAAAGAATCCTTGTTCAATAAATGGTGCTGGGAAAACTGGATAGCCACATGTAGAAGACTGAAACAAGACCCACACCTTTCACCTCTCACAAAAATCAACTCACACTGGGTAACAGACTTGAACCTCAGGTGTGAAACTATTAGAATTCTAGAGGAAAATGTTGGAAATACTCTTCTAGACATTGGCCTAGGCAAAGAATTTATGAAGAAGACCTCAAAGGCAATCACAGCAGCAACAAAAATAAATAAATGGGACCTGATCAAATTAAAAAGCTTCTACACAGCCAAAGAAACTGCCAAGAGAGCAAACAGACAACTCACAGAATGGGAGAAAATTTTTGCAAGCTACACATCCAATAAATGGCTGATAACTGGAATTTATTTAGAACTCAGGAAAATATGCAAGGAAAAATCAAACAACCCTATCAAAAAGTGGGCAAAGGACATGAACAGAAATTTTTCAAAAGAAGACAGAATAATGGCCAACAAACATATGAAAAAAAGCTCAACACATCTGTAATCATTAGGGAAATGCAAACCCAAACTGCAATGAGGTATCACTTATCTCCAGTAAGAATGGCCTTTATCAAAAAGCCCCCAAACAATGAATGTTGGCATGGATGCGGAGAGATAGGAACATTCCTACACTGCTGGTGGGACTGCAAACTAGTTCAACCTCTGTGTAAGGCAATATGGAGATACCTTAAAGCAATACAGGTAGATCTACCAATTCTACTACTGGGCATGTACCCAAAAGATCAAAAGTCACTTTATGGAAAAGACACCTGCACTCAAATGTTTATAGCAGCACAATTCAAAATTGCAAAGCTGTGGAAACAACCCAAGTGCACATCAACTTATGAGTGGATTAATAAAATGTGGTCTATGTATACCATGGAGTACTACTCAGCTTTAAGAAACAATGGTGGTATAGCACCTCCTGTATATTCCTGGATAGAGCTGGAACCCGTTCTACTAAGTGAAGTATCTCAAGAATGGAAAAACAAGCACCACATGTACTCACCAGCAAATTGGTATTAACGGATCAACACCTAAGTGGACATACAGGAGTAACATTTATCGGGTGTTGGGCAGGTGGGAGGGGGGAGTAGGGGATGGGTATATACAACCACAATGAGTGAGATGTGCAACATTTTGGGGATGGTCATGTTTGAAGCTCTTACTCAAGGGGGGAGGGAGGCAAGGGCAATATACGTAACCTTAACATTTGTACCCCCATAATATGCTGAAATAAAAAAAAATGATATTACTGATTTAAAAAGTAGTCATACAAAACTTGAGAATTGTAATAAGTATATATTTCACAGGAAAGTGAAAAATGGTAGATGATGAAAGTCATCTGTTGTCAACATTCTAATAAATATACTCAAATTTCCATTGATTTTCTGGACAACAAGTCACTAAAAACACATGCATTATTTATATAGTCTGTAGTTTTGTGACAAGATCCTCATCTTCCCTCTAGTCCTACCTCTAACACCATAAAGGTAATATTAGGAAATAGAACTTTTATTATGTTTTGTAAATATCATTCCTTTCTGTGAAGACTCTTATTCTATCACCCATCCAAGTACTCTTTTATGCAAACGGAACTATTTTCCTTGGAGAAAAATTTGTCTGGATTAAAGTTTTTTTGGTAAATCTATTCTACAGCCGATTTGCTACCATTTCTCACATTCAGAAACCACCTGCGTGAGGGAGGGCCTGGTGAATAATGGTAGAAAATTAGAGAATACTGTAGTTGTGTTGAAAACTTAATTTTCTTTTTCCTTTTAAATTGAAGGAATAATTACTGAGCAACCATATGATACTTTCTATATTATTCTTCTTTCAAAATGGGTTAATCATCAGAGAAATATAAGAGATAAGCATCAGACTTAAGTACTTGTTTCTACTAGATATATTTCTGCTAGGTGAACTCCCAGTTAACTACCAATTAATGTGTAGAAATGGCAAGCAAATAAATAAAGAGAAAGGCTGTCCCTGGTAAGCCGTAAGAAATGTTCATGTTGCTCTGCCAGGAACCAGCGGACAGCTCTGGAGTCTGACAATTGTACAAGAGAACACATTTTTATGATTCATTCTGCTTTAGCTTACAATATGTTCTGTCTCTGGTCTCTTTTTATTCTCAGTGAACTGCTCAAATGAGAAAATAGGCAAGATATATATAAAGAAGATAGAAAGACAAAACACATGGGTCAGAAACTTCTTTTATACATGTATTTTATCTTGCAATAAGGAAATAAATTCTCCAGACTTCTTTAAATAGAGACGTTTATTTTCTTTTCATTCCCTTCTTTCCATTTTTTTCTTTTGCATGCATGCTGGTGATTTTCCAAGACACGTGGGTTTTAGAGCTGGACTGGGAAATGAACAGGCAGCATTTCTAAGGAGGCTTCGGAACATCTTGGCATATTACAGAAGACGTAGGTTGCCAGGTGAGCGTTAAATATTTAACGGTCCTGTATTTTGTGAAACTGCCACCGCCATGTAGCAAGACACATCAGCCACTCACAATCTCATGTCTCAGGGTGCTGGTGAACCCTCACCAGCTCTGAGATGTGGAGCAGCGATTGGGAAAGGAATTGAGGATCTGCCTTGCGTGTAGCTGGCTACTGAACAATCTGATATTGCTGCCCACATATCATTGCAGACACCAGCTCGTAAGGAGCCAACTGCTGCAGTGGTTGAGGGCAAAGCTGGACCTGGGCTCCCGGTCACCAAGTTGCCAACAAGTTGAGTCTTATTATTTTGTTTTAGTTCCTTATATGGAACATGGGCAAGTGAGTCCAAACAAGTAAACTACCTGAAACATTTGACTATTGTTTATTCCTGCTCCAACTTTTAAAAATAGGGTAGGAAAAATATATTGTGGTTTTTTAAAATATATGATTGTAAATAGAAGTGAGCTGCTGTTCAGAACTATAATTGCTCAACAGCTTGAATAAATTTAATTTGGGTATTTAAGACCCAGCAAATGAATAGAGTAGGCATTGCTGTGATTGTGGTTCAGGCACGTTATTAATAAATAAATCTGATAGGATAATACAGAAGATAATTTAAGAGAATCCAACACTGTTTATAATGACTGGAAGAAGATGACAACAAAATGGGAGAAGAAACGGCTAATTCCCATTTTACCTTCTTTAAGAATTATTAGTCAAAACGTAGAGTATCTCCATCTTGTATTTAGAATGTGTAAATATATATGCCCAGGTAAATTTACAAATGTTAGTTTCCCATGGGTGCTGTAATAAGTCATCACGAACTTCAAGGCTTAAAATGACACACATTTATTGTCTTATAGTCCTGGAGGTGAGAAATAATAAATGGGTCCCACTGGGCTAAGTGAAAGCATTGAGGTCTGTGTTCCTTGTGGGGCTTTGAGGGGAATCCCTTTTCTTGCCTTTTCCAGCTTCCAGGGGCTGCCTATATTCCTTGGCTTTTGGCCCCTTTCTTTGTCTGCGATGCCAGCAGCGAGCATCTTGAAATCTCTGACTTTAATCTTCTGCCTCCCTCTTCTACTTATAACGACCCCTCTGATTACATTGGGTTCATCTGGATGATCCTTATTATCTCCCATCTCAGGCTAAAATGGTTAGCAACCTTCATTCCATCTGATGCCTTCTTTACTCTTTTCCATGTGACCTAACAGATTCACAGGTTCAGGAAATTAGGATATGGGAATCCTTGGAGGGCCACTATTCTGCCTCTTCCTTCTCATTTTACGAATGATAGATACAAAGTGATTAAAGGCATGTTAAGTTAGTATACTGTGCTCTGGATGAAAATGAATCCTGTCTTGTCCAGTCTTCCACAAAACTAAAGAAAACGTAGAAAAAGCTGAAGCTCGATGTAGAACTGAAAAGCACAATAACAAGCAACTTGTAGTTGGAAACTATGAAAAGTCTGCCTTTCCTATAAAGCAGATGAAACCAGAGTTAAAAAAAAAAAAAAAAAAAAAAAAAAAACCCATGTGGCTTTGACATCATAACACGCTTAGATTTTACTTTAGCACTTTAAAAAGCAGAAGGACAATTTATGACTCTCCTACTTTGCCCATGGACTCAGAAATTTAATGTCTGAGCCCTCAAAACAATGTATTATACTTTTTCTACTCTGCTGTTTTGATTCGTACAGCATTCAAATACTCTCTGCCTCCATCCCTCAGTTTTTCCCACCCTCCTTCTTACTAGCAGCACTGACACCATCATCCAGAGCTAGCAACTTTCAGAAAACAGTTAGTTAGGAAATAGAGACTTATGGTATTAGGTTATGTTCCCAGCAAAATCAATGAAAATAAATCTATGTTTATATTCGCCTTGGGAAACATTTAAACAACAAAGATAAGGGGAAAAAAAAACCCCATAAAATATCTAAGTAAACAAAACAAAAGCAACAAAGTTTTCCTCTAGAGGAATAAAACTGAAACCAGTTTATTCTTTCTCTGCAAACAAAAGATAGTTGTGGCAGAGAATTTACTGCTGGACAAATATCTGTGTCCTCCTACATGTTTTCCAGCCCCTCCTGGTTAAGCACAAACATGTGAATAGTGCTGGTCCACGGGCTCTGAGCCGAAGTCACAAATGTCATTTCTGTGTTAAAAATTTTACAGGCTGCATTTCATCTCACAAAAAGCCCAGTTGGCCCGCACACCCAGCCTGTGCCGTCTTCTCAGATCCTGAATGCAGAGTTGGAATAAACATTCTTGCCCATCGGCGAATCCCCACACGGCCTCCCTGGCTTGTGGATTGAAACTATTATGATGAGAAGGCGGGACAAGAGAAACCCTGGCAACTGCTCTGAGCCTTGAACACAGCAAAACCAAACGGTTGCCATGTCCCTCCGTGTGCCTCCCATGGCTTCTGTACGAGTCAGACTACAGGTAGAAAGAGGGCAAGAGCAGAAGCTTTAAGGCTCCTGAAGCTTAGATTTATAAGTTTAGAAGCAAAAAGGAAACAAAAAAACTCAACTGGGTTCAAAGGTAAATATATTTAAGCACACATATGTATTTATTGAGTTTATTTTATTATTTAAATAAAAATAATCAGAGGACAGAGTAGTAGGACATGGTAGGACATATCTGTAGTGACCTCTCATTATAAATTATATAAAATTTTCCCCAATCTGCATGTGTTTACTGGCTTAAAATTATTAATGCCATATTTTTTTAATTTTTAAAACTCTCTTTTTCATTATTTTCAGTTGTATTTATAAACTTAAAAAAATTCCCATACCAGGGTTTTAAGGGTTTCTATTTTGTTTCTATTCTAATGATTAATTCAAATTTTCCAACATTTTATTCTAAAATATATGTATAGAAAAATGCACAAAGCATATTTTACTACTCAGTAAAGTTTTACAAGTGAATTACTGCTCTATGGCTGTGTGAGCAGCATGCAGACCAAGAAACAGGCTGCCATCCCAGAAGTCCCCATCTCCCTGCAGCCACTGCGCACTCCCTCCTTGACCCCTAGAATGTAGTGACTGTCCGGACTACCATCTTCATGTCCTTTTCTGACTTGAAAGCTCATTTCTTTTTATTGAATATTGTTTGACTTGTAAACATTTTTTTTTTCAATAGACAAAACCAATCAGATGTAAACATTTTTGATGAACTTTGTGGGGGTATGTTTGTATCTGATTGTGGTTTTAATTGACATTTCCTTAATTAAAAATGCAGCTTAGAATCTGTTTCATGTGTTCACTGACAATGGAATATTGTTTATTTATGAAACACCTATTTATGTCTTTTGCTCAGTTTTCTTTTTTTAATTTTTAATTATTATAAGTACATAATAGTTGTATATACTTATAGGGTACATAGGATCTTTTGATATAGGCATATGAAATAAAGTAATCAAATCAGGGTAATTGGGGTATCTATCCCCTCAGTTATTCATCATTTCTTTGTGTTAGGAACATTCCAATTCCACTCTTCGTTATTTGAGGGAATACCCTAACTTATTGGGGTTGTTTTTTTTTTTTTTTTGAGACAGAGTCTCACTTTGTTGCCCCGGCTAGAGTGCAGTGGCATCGGCTTAGCTCACAGCAACCTCCAACTCACAGGCATGCACCACCCGGCTAATTTTTTCTATATATTTTTAGTTGTCCAATTAATTTCTTTCTAATTTTAGTAGAGACGGGGTCTCGCTCTTGCTCAGGCTAGTTTTGAACTCTTGATCTTGAGCTATCCTCCCGCCTCGGTCTCCCAGAGTGCTAGGATTATAGGCGTGAGCCACTGCGCCCGGCCCCTAACTTATTGTTTATTATAGTCACTCTGTTGTGCTATCAAATATGGTTCATTTCATCTAATTATTTAATTATTCTTGTGCCCATTAACCATCCCCACATTATCCCTCCCTCCTGCTGTGGAGAAAAATCTAACCCGCCGTTCTGCTTCTGTAAACTCCGCTTGCTCAACCCTACTCCCTTCCCCCGCTGGCACCCCTCCGCTCGCTCAACCCTATTCCCTCCCCCGCTGGCACCGGCGCCACTCTGTAACTCCCCGAAAACCACTTGCCGTTAGTCCTTGGAGTTTATTGACCAAGATTAGAAGTTCCCGATATTAGCCCATCTGGTACATGTTTGTGCAAGGTCAAAGCCCATGGAATTTCCCCCCACCCTGTGATCCCTAGCCACCTGCATGTGGTTTCTGCCTATAAAATCCTAAGGAAAGAAAAAGGTCGGCACGGCAGCTTCCCTAGCTCGCTTGCCCCTGCGCTGTGCTGGAAATAAATCCTCATGCTTTTGCATCAAGTCTCTGGACTCTGAGTCTTTTTTTAGGCGGTCGTCTCTCCCCCACACGGGCTGTACATTTCTGCGGCCTAACACTGCTACTCTTCCCAGCTTGTGGTGATTATCATTCTACCCTCTTGTTCCATAAGATCAATTGATTTTAATATTTAGCTCCCACATATGAGTGAGAACATGGGAGATCTTTTTTCTGTGCTTGGCTCATTTCACTTAACATAATGTTCTCCAGTTCCAACTATTTTATTGCAAATGGAAGGATTTCATTCTTTGTTATGGCTATATAATATTCCATGTATATAGGTATCACAATTTCTTTATCTATTCATCTGTTGATGATCATTTAGGTTGATTCCAAATCTTGGCCATTGGGAATGGTGCTGCAATAAACACGGGAGAGCAGTTATCTTTTTGATACACTGAATTCCCTTCTTTGGGATATATGCCTAGCAGTGGGATTGCTGAGTCACATGGTAGTTCTATTTTTAGTTTTTTGAGGGACATTCATACTGTTCTCCATAGCGGTGGCACTAATTTACATTCCCAGCAACAGTGTACAATGGTTCCCCATTTCTCCACATTCTTTCCAGAATGTACATTACCTTTTTGATAAAAGCCATTTTAATTGGGGTGAGATAATATCTCATTGTAGTTTTGATTTGCATTTCTCTGATGACTAATGATG